TTCTTTCAATTTCTGTTTGCCAGGAAAGGTTTTTATTTCACCTTCATTCACAAATGAGAGCTTTGCAGCATATAATATTCTGGGCTGGCAGTTTTTTTCTCTTAGTACTTGGGCAATATCTTGCCATTCCCTCCTGGCTTGAACGGGCCATCAAAGGAGGTACCTTTGTCTGAAGGGTGGAGAGAACTTTGACTATGGCCTTGTCTAAATAAGATTGGAGTTGATGAACTCAAGAGGCTTCCATAGCTTTGGCAGCTCATGACAAGAGCCTCGGGTGATTACTGGTGTCATAAACAAGAGTGTCAATTGTTAAATCAATAAATGGGAGTCACTGTGCACCTACCCCCCATGTAGGATCTGTCCTTAATGTGTTGTTCCATGCGAATTTGTGAATTAACGGTAAAACTACTACTCAAACAGTACTCTATACTTTGTGTTTCTGTGTGGGTGCAGTCTGTTGAAATTTTAGCTTAGTATATATACTAAGTTGATCTTCTGTATATAAAGATAATTGAAAATGAATCTTGATGAAGAATGGGATGGGAGAGGGAGTGGGAGATAGGATGGTTGCCAGTGGGAGAGTGATTATGGGGGGAAAAGCTGCTATAATTCAAAAGTTGTACTTTGAAAATTCATATTTATTAAATAAAAGTTGAGAAAAATAAAATGGCCCACAGAATTCAAGAAAACACTTCACTTACTTTTACTAATTTATTACACAGGAAATTTAGGTATCCAAATGAGCAACCATTTAAAGAGGTACTTAGGGTGAGGGCTAGAAGGGGTCCCAAGCACAGGAGCTTCTGTTTTCATGGAGTAGGGGTACACAGCCACCCCCTGGCACTTAGATGCACTCACCAGACGCTCTGCCAACGTTGTTAGAGTTTTATGAGGCCCATTAATAGTGGTGTGATTGAATACTTGGCCATTGGTGATTAAGTTTTATCTCTAGTCCCTTTCTCCTCTCCAGAGGAAAATTGTGTCTGATTGTTTTAAATTTCTTCTAAGCCGGAGGCTTTTTTCAGATGATTGCTAATCATTTGATTCTGCCTTTTATAAGTGTTCTGCTTTATCTTTTGTTCATTTCTTTTGGTATATTGTTTTCTTATTAATTTGTAGTAGTTTAATAGGCAGAGGACAGTGGCCCTTTGCTATTACATATTTTAGTCTGTTTTTGTTGTCTTAATTTTGATATTAAAATGTTTAATTGCCCTGATCATAGTTCCTGTCTCGTGTGTCGTACTTCAAAAAGCCTTCTCTACTTCTAGATTTTTAAAACACTTGTATATGTTGGTGGAATCTCACTCTTCCACTCTCCCTCCCCACTTCTCACAGATCTTTGTGATTACTTACACATCTATTGAAAAATGCCACTGAATTATGTTAATCATTTTTGCTTATTTTTTAAGGAATTCAGAGGGGAAAAGTTAGTTTTTTACATATACATAGCTATTTGTCATTTGTTGTTCTTCTACTTTTTTTTTTTTTTTTTTTTTTTTTTTTTTTTTGACAGGCAGAGTGGACAGTGAGAGAGAGAGACAGAGAGAAAGGTCTTCCTTTTGCCGTTGGTTCACCCTCCAATGGCCGCCACGGCTGGCGCGCTGCGGCCAGCGCACCGCGCTGATCCGATGGCAGGAGCCAGGTACTTCTCCTGGTCTCCCATGCGGTGTAGGGCCGAAGCACTTGGGCCATCCTCCACTGCACTCCCGGGCCACAGCAGAGAGCTGGCCTGGAAGAAGGGCAACCGGGACAGAATCCAGCGCCCCGACCGGGACTAGAACCCTGTGTGCCGGTGCCGCTAGGTGGAGGATTAGCCTATTGAGCCGCGGCGCCAGCCTTCTACTGTTCTTAATATTCCCAGTTTCCAATATCAAAGTGAACAACTTTTTTAAAAAATGTCTTCTAGAGGAAATCTGTAGGCAATGGATTCTGTTGGTTTTCTGAGGTTTTTATTTTGCCTTCTTTTCTGAGGTATGTTTTCTCTGGATATAGAATTTTAAAGGTTTTCTGCTCTCATACCTTTTCTATGTCAGCCTGCAATTAAATCTCTGTTGGATCCTTGGGTTCATCTGTTGTGCAGTTTATTGCAATATTTTTTCTTATTCAAATTGCATAATATCTAGATTCATCTTCATATTCACTGATATCTTTTCCTCTGTCATCTCCAACTTGCTAGTTAACCAAGAGTTTTTGGTGTCAGTTACTGTGTTTTTCAGTTCTAAAACTTCCATTTTTTATTTTTTATTTTTTATTTCTCTGCTGAGAACCTCTCTGTTTTCATTCATTTCAGTTTGTTTTGTTACCTCATAGAGGATAGTTATAATTGGTGCTTTAAAGTTTTTGTCTGCTCATACAAGTAGCTGATCATCTCAAGATTGTCTTTTCTCTTGAGCGTTAAGTCTTCCTGATGGCTTTTTATGTTGAAATCCTCTGGACAGTGTTGGTGTTTGGTGTTAGCAGGCAGTCAGCCACATTAAGGTCAGACTTTAAGTTGTACCTCACAGTGTCTGGACAGACAGTGGCTCAAATCTCAATTCCGTCTCAAAGCCTTTGCTATCATGTCTTGGGGCTCTGCTGCACCTCTGTAATTGAGGGATCAGTCTGAGTCTTATGGGTTTTTCAAATCTCAGATCAGTTCTCTAAGCCTTTATTTACTGGTTTTTCCCACACATGTTTTATTCAACAGGCAGTCCTAACTACTGGTATCGTTGATGTCAAATTTCAATTCTGTTCTCTAAGCCTTTGCTGTATGGATTGGGTCCTGCCTTGGGCATGCGTAGTTCAGGGTTAGGCTGAGACGTGTGTGGGCTCACACATAGCATTGAGGGATCCCCCTCTCCAGCTGTCTCCTCTCCGGTTCATCCCAAGTTTTCCATTTCTTTCATAGTTGAAAATTATTACTTACATCCAAGGTCAGGTAGTGACTTAATAAATTATACTGGTAAGGCTAGCTCTAAGAGGGGTCTTCACAAAGCTCATGGAAATGCATAGTATCTTTTAATTCATTTTTCTATGAATTTTTTAAAAATATTTGTATTTAAGGGACAAAAAACTTAATTTGAAATGTATTAAGAACCTACTATATAATGTTGTACTGGGCAAGAGGTGAAGAATTGGGATTTACACCTAGACCCTGCTCTTAAATAAATTGCAGCCCGATTGGGCAAACTATATATAATGCAGAAAGCACTATAATAAACGCAATGACTCAGCAAGGATTTGTTATACATTGTGGGCCAGGCACTGCTATGTACACTAAGAATATAGTAATGACCTAGACTGATTTATAGGAATAAATTTAAGAAAACAAGTATTAGGAAATCAACTGAAAAAAAGTTTTATATTCTGATTAACTGATTTTCTTTGATAATCTATAGCTGACAATTGCATTGTTCTGTAACTGTTTGGCAGAATTATAAATAGTAATTGACCCTCTTTTGGTACATAAAGTGTGATTAACCTTAAGGTTAAAGATTGAATTTTTTGGATCCAATCTATATTAACCCTACAAAAAGCAATAGAACTTCATTCTTAACAAAAGCAGCAGAGTACACAAATTAGTTTTATAGTGGTTCCTCCATAATGTCTTGCTTAACACATTATAAGCTTAATGTAATTCCAGTTTTAAAAAGTAGATTATGTCAAGGTAGTCTCATTAATGTTCAAAAGGAATGAGTATTTAAATTTTAAACAGTAAAAATTACATATTCCTCTGAATATGTTCATTTCTGTTGGAGACCTTTTTTTACTAGCACAATAACTCTTAGTGGGTTTTTTTTTTTTTCAGTATTTGCTTAAATCTGAGTTTTATTCAAGTACTAGTATTTACTTTTATTTTCAGAAAAGTTACATTTAAAACTGTCTGTCTTGGAGTGGGTGTTGTGGCCCAATAGGTTACACTGCTGCTTACAACACTTGCATCTCATGAGTGCCGTTTCAAATTCTGACCACTCTACTTGGGATCCAGCTTCCTGCTAGTTCATCCTGGAAAGTGGTAGATGATGGCTCAAAGTGCTTGGACTCCAGCTACTCACATGGAAGACCAGGATGAAGCTCCAGAAAAAGAATTAAAGCTTTGGCCGGCGCCGCGGCTCACTAGGCGAATCCTCCGCCTGCAGCGCCGGCACACCGGGTTCTAGTCCCGTTGGGGTGCTGGTTCTGTCCCAGTTGCTCCTCTTCCAGTCCAGCTCTCTGCTGTGGCCTGGGAGTGCAGTGGAGGATGGCCCAAGTCCTTGGGCCCTGCACCCCATGGGAGACCAGGAGGAAGCACCTGGCTCCTGGCTTTGGATTGGCACAGCGCGCTGGCCATAGCAACCATTTGGGGGGTGAATCAACAGAAGGAAGACCTTGCTCTCTCGTGCCCCTCCCTCCCTCCCTCCCTCTCTCTCTCTCTCTCTCATTGTCTAACTTCCTGTCAAAAAAAAGAATTAAAGATTTAAAAAATTGTTTATTTAAAATAGGACGCACTACATCAGAAGATAGTAAATTGGCTCTGTATAGAATGAGTATGTTTCAGTTATTTATTGCTGTGCAGTAACTTAATCCAAAGCATAGTGGCTTGAAGGCACAATCATTTATACTTACTTATGACTCTACAATATGGACTGGATTTATCTGACTAGTAGTGTATGTGCTAATCTCTCCCAGGGTCTCATTGACTGCAGCTAGAGGTTTCAAGGTGGTCTCTCAGTACACTAGGGACTGACTGACTTTTCCTCTTTCCATGTAGTCTCTCACCTTTCAAGTAGTCTAGCATGATCATTTCTCTGCTAACAAAAGTAGTGATTATTTTTTTAGACATTATTTCTGTGGGGAAAAAAAAAACAAATTATACTACTTTACTTTTACTTATAATATCTTTTCCAGGAAAAATAGTAACCGGCCCTAAATTTGAGAGCTATTTGGTCTTTAAAATGGTTTTTCATTTGCCGTGTCTTAAAAGACTGAGAAATTAATTGGTATATCATGTCATTAGTTTAATTATTTACATTTTTTAACAGGCAATTGCTGGCTACTTTGATATCTATTTTGAAAAGAATTGCCACAACAAGGTAAGTATCATGAGTTATTCATATGAATTAATTATGCAAAGTGCATTGTATTTTTTTTTTTGCCCTAAGGTGTTTTGATCATAAGCATTTTGCTGTTGTAAGCAATTGGAGCTTGTGTTTGATGTGGTAGATTAATGTACCATGATATTAAAAATCTTGTACTTCATCAGATACTTTTGAACTCTACCAATGCAGGTCATGTTCTCTACGGGTCCCCAGAGTACCAAAACACATTGGAAACAAACGGTATTTCTACTGGAAAAACCATTTTCAGTGAAGGCAGGTAAGAAAGATAAGGAAGGGGTGGGGGATTCATTCTACAGTAAACAGCAGTCATTCATTTTACAGTCACTTCTTATATGCCCTCTGTATCTAAAGCAATGGAACAGATGTTAAGACGTTCTTAGAGCTTACCATCTGTTTGTGTTTTAGATGGCACATCATTTAACTAAAGACATAAGAATTTTTTATTTTACATTTAATCTCTGCCAATTAAAATGAATGGAATTATGTGGCTCAGAAGTACTACAGATTCAGAAAACTTCAGGCAGTAACTAAAAGAAAGTATTTTCATTTCCCAAGTTACTAAATTTAGAGAAATATCACCAATAACAGTAAAATACAAATTCAGCAAAATGCCATTCAATAGTTATTGTATTCAAAACATATGAGCATTTGTCTAGAATGCACTCCACTGTCTCCATCTATTGACCTTTTTATGGTGTTCAAGGATTGGTCAAATAACCTCATTGATTTTTTACTTATTTTACCACCTGTAAGTCTCACATACCCATATACTTAGCTCTAAAAATTAAATGTGATTATTAAACTTACTGTTATTTTAAGAGACAGAAAGGAACAATTCCTGTCCACTAATTCAATCCCCAAATGCCCAGAAGGACCAGGACCAGGCTGGGCTGAAGCCAGAAATGGAAAACTCAATCTGGGTGGGAAAGAACCCAATTGCTTTAGCCTTCACCTGCTGCCTCCCAGGGCCTGCATTAGTAGGCAGCTGGAGTCAGGAGCCAAGGCTAGGTATCAAACCCAGGTATTCTGTTGTGGGACTCTGGCATCTTAACCCCTAAGCTAAACTCTAGCCCAGAATTTTGTTTTTAATGTAAAACTGCTTATATTACATATAAGTGTTCTTGTCCTACCTTTGCAAAACTCCTAGGAGATAGGAAAGCTGAACGTACAAGTTGCAATACAAAGACACTCAATATCACTAGTAACTCTAATACAATGAGACATTGTTTCTTATCTATTATTTTGGGGGAAAATAATGTTTAACAATACCAAGTGCTGGCAATAATGTTAGCAGGTGGAACTTTCGTACTCTCTTGCAGTAGTCCTAATGGATAAAACAACCTTAGAGAACAGTTTGATAATAGCACGTGTAAAGGCACCATCCTTACAACTCAGCAGTCTTTTTCCTACACTTGTACTTTGAACAGTCTCTCTCATAACATGTTCACAAAAATCTATATGGTTTGTAGAAATGAAAAATTGGAATCAATCATCATGTCCATCAGGAAACAAATGAGTATGTTAGTTACATAGAATAAAATCTATGGAGCAAATAAATTATTTAAGTGTGTATATCAGAAGAAGTATTGAGCACAAAAAGAACTTGCAGAATGGCTCCTAAAATATGCCATTTATATGGCATTTAACAATTATGCATACAGATAAATGATAAAAGATGAAGCAACACTTCAGTGATACCACTCAGTTCACTGAAGTGGTGACCTCTGAGGAAGAACAGAAATAGGAATCAGGTAGTCTACAAAGGGAGTTCAGTGTCAAGTATGTATGCTTTGTTTTTAAATGAAACTATGGCAGAATGTTAATATTTGATGAAGCTGAGTCCATGGCTCCTTGTGGTCATTATATTACTGTCTATTTCTCAGAATTTCATAAAATATTTTAAATTTGCCAACGCATAAATTGAATTCAGTAGATGCACCTTGTTGTGTTCTCACTTTGGGGTTGCAGTGCTATGGAAATGAAAACCTTGATGGTGTTGTTTTCTCTGTCTCCAGTAAGCTTCAGCACAGCAAAACTAAAATGAGGCAAATTTAATGCAAGTTTTTTCAAATCTTGGTGTTGGGAAGTTTGAACATGTTACTTCTTCACTGTGTCCATTTTGTCATCTTATTGCTAGAGTTTTAAAGGATGTACTTACTCATTCACATAATTTTGAGGGAGATTTAAAATAGTATTTGAGTTTTATTATCTTCAAAATTTTCTAACTAATTACAACAAAATACTGTGTTATGCCTAGTTAAATTTCTAAATCCCAACAATTCTTTACCCAGTAATCCTTAGACTAAGTGACTCATGCTTTGCCCTTGGGCTTTTTCACAATCCTATGAAACAGGTGTGTGACTCTAATGTTGCCCTCTGGCCCATCTGCATTTCTCTTATCGCCACTATATAATGTATATTCTTGTATATAAGTAGTACAACCAGTAGTGTAGCACAGACATTGAAGTATCTCAAAGTAATACAATCCTAAAGAGGAAACATTTGAAAGGGAAATTTCAAAGTAAGAAAAAGGTAATCATTTCTTAGTTTTTGGAATTTAAACAAAGGATCAGAAGTAAATATAACTGTTTTCATACCCTGCTGAACTTCTGATGGTAGCTAATAAACAGAAGCTGTAAATCATAGGGCAGAGTGCTGAAGAGGACATGCTAATCAGGAAAAGACCTCTGGAAACCTACATAGGAAGTCCTTTTGCATTTTAGGTGAATTTTAAGATGTGTAGATGTAGGATGAAGTGTGCAAGGTGAGGTGACTAGTTTGGTTAAGCTGTGAACAATTCTGAGTTCACACAGGGTCTCTAGCTATTCACATCTCAGCCACCCACAGTACACAGTGCTTTTAGACTCTGTTCAGTAGGGATTCCAGGAGAACCACGGCTGCCTGGATGCTCCTCAGCAGCGTTTACACACAGCCCTGAAATGAAGAAGCTAAACTGTGAGTAACTTAGTGGTAACAAAAGAAAGAAAAGCTAGACACTAAACATAAAATTCTTAACCAGACAGTGAATGCAACAAATTATCAGCTGATAGACCTACAGATGAGGATACTGAAGCAAATATTCTAACTGCATTTATATGTACATCATGAGACTATGGGAAGATATTTTAAATGCAAGTGGCACCTCTAGATACAAAATACCAGTATCTGAAGTAGAAATGCTATCTGATTGAATTAAATGCAGAAGAAAAAACGATGGGAAACTTGAAGATAGAACAATAAAAGGGGGACCAGCGTTATGGCACAGCATGGAAAGCTGCTGCCTGTGATTATAGCATCCTGTATGGGCGCTGGTTTGTGTCCTGGCTGCTCAACTTGCATTCCAGCTCCTTGCTAGTGGCCTGGGAAAAGTAGCAGAAGATTGCCCAAATGTTTCAATCACCCACACAGGAGAACTAGAAGAAGCTCCAGCTTTGCAGCCATCTGGGAAGTGAACCAATAAACGGAAAATCTCTAACTCTGACTTTTCAAATAAACACATTAAAAAAAAAAACCAACAACAATAAAATATATCAAAATGAAGCAAACAGGGGCCAGCATAGTGGGTTAAGCCACTGCTTATGACACCAGCATCCCATGTCAGAGCACCAGATGGAGTCCTGGCTGCTCCACTTCCATCCATCTCCCTGCTAATGTGCCTGAGAAAGCAGTAGAAGACAGCCCAAGTACCTGGATCCCTGCATGGAGAAAAATAACTAAATCCTCTTTAAAAAAAAAAAAAAAAAAGTAAGAATACATTCACAGTAATGTGTGTGAAAATATCAAGCACTCTTCTTGTAGAAGTGCAGTAATAGGAGTCCCCTGAGGGAAAGAGGGGCAGTGCAAGGACAGAAAATGTGTTTGATGAAATATTGGCCAGATTTTCTTTAAAACTAACCCACAGATTAAATTTAGCAAAGCCCAAATAGGACAGATAGAAATAAAACCCCATGAAGATACATCATAAATAAGCAGCTGATAAACAGAGATAGCAATAACTTTTAAAAGCATAAGGCAGGGGCCAGCACTGTGGCATAGCAGGTAAGGCCACCGCCTGCAGTGCCGGCATCCCATATTGGCACCAGTTCTAGTCCCAGCTGCTCCACTTCAGACCCAGCTCTCTGCTATGGCCTGGAAAAGCAGTAGAAGATGGCTCAAGTCCTTGGGCCCCTGCACCCACATGGGAGACCCTGAAGAAGCTCCTGGCTTCAGATCAGCGCAGCTCTGGCCGTTGCTGCCAGTTGGGGAGTGAACCAGTAGATGGAAGACCTCTCTTCCTCTCTCTCTCTGTGTAACTCTAACTTTCAAATAACTAAATCTTTTTAAAAAATAAAAGAAAACATAAGCCAGAGGAAAAAACATTATCGAGAAAAGAATAAAAAAGGGTTAACTTGAGAATACTAATCAAGGACTATTAAGTCATTTGATAATTGAATGTGCTGAGAGAAATGAACAGCCTAGTTCTGTGTAAGAAATATGTATCAAAAATGAAGGCTACTTGAAAATTTCTTTTCAGAAGAAAATAGCTGTAAAAAGAATTCTTCAGTAATAGACCAGCAATATAAGCATGTACTGAAGTAAGTTCTGGTGGGAATAAAATGTCACCAAGTAAGCCGGCGCCGTGGCTCAATAGGCTAATCCTCCACCTTGCGGCGCCGGCACACCGGGTTCTAGTCCCGGTTGGGGCGCCGGATTCTGTCCCGGTTGCCCCTCTTCCAGGCCAGCTCTCTGCTATGGCCAGGGAGTGCAGTGGAGGATGGCCCAGGTGCTTGGGCCCTGCACCCCATGGGAGACCAGGAAAAGCACCTGGCTCCTGGCTCCTGCCAGGATCAGCGCGGTGCGCCGGCTGCAGCGGCGGCCATTGGAGGGTGAACCAACGGCAAAAGGAAGACCTTTCTCTCTGTCTCTCTCTCTCACTGTCCACTCTGCCTGTCAAAAAAAAAAAAAAAAAAAAAAATGTCACCAAGTAGAAACTTGGATCTAAATAACAGGAATGGGAAATAATAGAAATAGTAAATATGTGAATACATAGAAAAGTCTATTTTTTTAATTTCTGAATTGATAATTGATTAAAGCAAAAATAATGCGGATTTTGAAACATGGATAAAGTGTGGGGAGCAATTCGGACTAGACTAAGTTACTGGAATTAAGACTTATTCTATGCATCTGCTCTCCCACAATATGGCGCTGGGAGAGAAGTAAACAGCTTCCGCACAGCTGCCTCCAGTTCAACTAATAAACTGTAGGACTTGCTCCTGA